TTTCCCTACTATGTTTGGAGGATAAAGGTGTAACTAATATAACATCTTACCTCCACAAAGAACATATAATAACGATATTATGAAAAGAGAGGAGCCACAACTAGTATGGTGGTTAAGGTACTGGATTGCCACATGGTTTGAGGCCAGACCCAGTGGCTTGAAAATCATGCTGGGTGCGTGTGCATGCATGCCCAAAATCCTAGGAGAAGAATGGAGGAGAAGGAATTGTGGTGTGGCTATTCCCACTAGGAGTAATTTCTCACTTTCCTCTCACTGTCTCTTTCTTCTCAGGTGAGCACACAGGCCCTATGGTGAAAAACTTTTAAAAAAAGGGAGAGAATGACCAGATAGTTTAAAAGTTCTCAGCAATTAAAAAACAAAACAAAATTTAATAAAAAAAATTAATAATATCTTACAATAAAATAAAAATATTAAAGAGTAGAAAAATGGTTAAGTCCTTAGAAGACTGAATTGATTGAAGAAGTCCGATTCAGGAACTGGAATTCTGAACATTGGAATTGGAATTGGAACTGGAATTCTGAACAGGAATTTTTTAAAAAGAAAATGAAGAGCTAATAAAAATCAAGATTAACAATTAAAATCAGGTAAAACTAAAATATAAAACAAGATTGGCAGGTGCCATGGTGGTTAAGGGTGATGGACTGCCACAGGGCTGACTGTGGTTCGAGTTCCAGACCTGGTGGCTTGCTTTCTCACTCCCCCTCCCTCCCAACTCTGTTCCTCTCTGGTCAATTTAAAAAGTAAATAAATAAATGGATAAATAAAGTTAAACAAAATAATTCTTTTAAAAAAATCCCTAAATGGGAACCAGCAGTTAGCGTAATGGCTATGTCGCTGGACTCCCACGTAGTCGACCGCAGTTCGTATCCCGGATCCGGTGGCTTAAAACTCACGCCGGGCACGTGTGCGTGCGTGCCCAAGATCCCGAGAGGAGAATGGAGGAGAAGGGATTGTGGCGTGACCATCCCCCCTGGGGGGTGATTTCTCGCTTTCTGTCTCTATGTCTCTGTCTGTCTGGCGAGCGCACGCGCCCTATAGCGAAAACCTCTAAAAAAAAAAAAAATCCCTAAATTAGGCAAACAAAATGGGCCCAGAGGGTTAGAAAATTCTAATTCAAAAGACAAATACCTTTGGGACCAGCAGTTAGCGTAATGGCTATGCCGCTGGACTCCCTTGTAGTCAACTGCGGTTTGCATCCCAGACCCGGTGGCTTAAACTCACACTGGGCGCGTGTGCATGTGTGCCCAAGATCCCGAGAGGAGAATGGAGGAGAAGGTATTGCGGTGTGGCCATCTCCCCTGGGGGGTGATTTCTCGCTTTCTGTCTCTCTATCTGTCTGGTGAGCACATGCGCTCTATAGCAAAAACCTCTCCAAAAAAAAAAAAGACAAATACCTTTTATGGGCTCACGACACAAGAGGCTGAGAGGCCCTACCTTTTCTCCCGCAGTGCCTCATCTAGGACTTCCTGCTTGTCCTGCAGCTGCCGGCGCAGGTACCTCATCTCCCTCTGGTACTCAGCGATCCTGTCAGCAAAATCCTCCTGCTGCTCCATCACACAGTGACTGATGTCACCCAGCTTCAGTGCTATCTGCTTCTTACACCCCTGGGGGAGGAGAAGAGGCTCAGTGAGCAAGGGGATGCTGCCTGTGGCCCAGGGGGATGGCACTTCCTGGCTGCGTTCCTGCCTACTCCTCCCGCTCTCAGGACCCACTAAAACAGAGGAAGCCCTAGATACATGTGATCTAGGACTAGAAGTCTGGATCAAAGTGGTAAAAAGTGACCATTTCAGATACAATAACACCAAACCTCAGTTTGTATTATGACTTGTTTTTCATGTGCTACAAACAAAGTCAAACCAGAAGATACCACCAGCACAGAATAAACTGGACGTCCTTGTAAATTACTTTACTTCTGCATTTTCCCCCAGGACAACTTTTTATCTCTGATCACCTGGCAGCTCCGAAACTACGATTGGCCTTGTCAGAACTGTCCTAGATTACCAAGGAAGCTTCACATAAAAAGCCACCAAGGTCCTCATTCTCTGCTGTCAGACACATGACTAACATAAAAGCCTCGCTCATTGATTTTCCTTCTTTCATTTTTTTTTTTTTTTGTATTTTATTTACAGTTCTAGGGTGCCCTCTGAGCATTGCTAAAATTACTGTCACATAGATTCTGACAGGTAGTTCACAAAGATTCATTTTTCTTTTTGTTAAAGAATTATTTACTTAATTTTATTTATTTATTCATTTATTTTAATTTGAAGAGAGAAAGAGAAAGCGGGAAAGCAAGCTACCAGGTCCAGGACTTGAACTATGGTTGGCCACATGGGACTGTCCAGCACCTTAACCACCATGCCACCTGCTGGTCCCCAAGATTCACTTTTTTAAAAGAAATTCTGATATTCAGTTTCGACATCCCCTCTGACCAAAGAATCGATTTAGTGTTTACCCAAGAGTAGGTTTAATATGGTACTTATACTTCCACGTGAAAAACTTTTTTTTTTCTGATTTTGTTTATTAATGTCTAGTTTCCATATTGTGATCTACAAATGTCTATATTATTTTTATTTCAGGGATTTACTGAGGTCTTATTTGTAGCCAAGCCTTAATCAATTTTTGTGATTGTCATTTATATATACATAAATATACCCTATTGACGTGTTGTTAAATCTTCTATGTCTAAACTTTTTAACTTCTTTTTTTTTTCTTTTTTTCTTTTTTTTGGAGAGGTTTTCGCTATAGGGCACGTGCACTCGTCAGACAGAGAGAGAGAGAGACAGAGAGAAAGAAAGCAAGAAATCACCCCCCAGGGAGGATGGTCACGCCGCAATCCCTTCTCCTCCATTCTCCTCTCGGGATCTTGGGCACGCATGCACACGCGCCCGGCGTGAGTTTTAAGCCACTGGGTTCGGGACGTGAACCGCGGTCAACTACGTGGGAGTCCAGTGACATAGCTATTACGCTGACTGCTGGTCCCCTTATTTTTAACTTCTTGACCACTCTTAGATCAAGAGAGGTTGTTCAAAGCTACTATTACTTATTTTCTTTCTTTTTTTGTTCTTTTTTTTCTTTTTTCTTTTTTCTTTATTTTTTTTTTTGAGAGATTTTCACTGTAGGGCGCGTGCGCTCGCCAGACAGACAGAGAGAGACATAGAGACAGAAAGCGAGAAATCACCCCCGGGGGGATGGTCACGCCGCAATCCCTTCTCCTCCATTCTCCTCTCGGGATCTTGGGCACGCACACACACGCGCCCGGCGTGAGTTTTAAGCCACCGGGTCCGGGACACGAACCGCGGTCGACTACGTGGGAGTCCAGCGACATATCCATTACGCTAACTGCTGGCTCCCTTTTTTTTATTTTTTAAGAGAGAATTTTGCTATAGGGCATGTATGCTTGCTAGAGAGATAGACAGAAAGCAAGAAATCATCCCCTAGCAGGGATGGCCACGCCCAAACCCTTCTCTTCCATTCTCCTCTCAGGATTTTGGACATGCACACGCACTCGATGGAGTTTAAGCCGCTGGGTCCAGGACTTGAACCGCAGTCGACTATTGTTTCTAAGTTTCCATTTTCCTTTTGTATTTCCTATTGTTTGACGTTCATAAATTTGCTGTTGCGTTATTTAGTGTATAGATTTGACTACTGTATGTATATTATTAATTCTAGTCTCTGTTTTAAAGTTTATTTCTTAAATGAGCAAGAGAAACATACAGAGAATGAGAGACAGATATATGGTAACCACAGTAAGTTCTTAGTGCCACAATCCACCTCTAGTATCAGCCGGCCTGCACTATGGGCACGCGTGTGCTTGGCATAGTCAGGGAGGTCTCCAGACATGAACCTGAAACCTTCCCACATGAGTCGGCCTTGCAGAACATTGCGTTTCACTGCTGCACCACCCTCAATAAAGTACTTAATATTATTAAGTTCTCTCTCTATATTTTTGGTCTCATTTAGTACTTTTGGTTGGAATTCCATTTTGGTATATGTAAAGATTTCAACTGTTGTTTTCCTTTGGTTTACATAAATCTGGCTTATCTTTACCTATGCTTTATTTTAAATCCTTCTGAAACATTTTGCTTCAAAGTTATCTCTTGGACCTCTTATGGAAGAGTATTTTGATTTATGAGTTTCTTTTTTTTTTTTTTTGAGAGGTTTTTGCTATAGGGCACATGCACTCGCCAGACAGAGAGAGACATAGAGACAGAAAGCGAGAAATCACCCCCCAGGGGGGATGGTCACGCCGCAATCCCTTCTCCTCCATTCTCCTCTCGGGATCCTGGGCACGCATGCACACGTGCCCGGCTTGAGTTTTAAGCCACCGGGTCCGGGACGCAAACTATGGTCGACTACGTGGGAGTCCAGCGACAGCCATTACGCTAACTGCTGGTTCCCTGATTTATTAGTTTATATCTTGTGGTTTTCCTTTCTGTCTCTGACTGCTTCATTACGTTTATCTATCTAGCTCTCTCTAGCTATCTAGCTACCTCCCTAACTACCTATCTACTTATTTACCTACAACTTATTTATCAGTTCATTTTGGAGTATAGGTTACAGTTTTGATCTTCTTTGTGGCAACATTTTTATTTTTATGCTAAGTTTTTATCAGCAGAAAAAGTTCTACTTCTCTTTTTCTCCCCTTTTTCAAAAGCGTTTTGCATGGAGGCTGAATTCCTTTGGAATGAGAGGGTGGGAGCAAAGCTTGGGCCAGGAAGCCTTCTAAGCTTCACATACTCTCTTTCCTGTAGCCCCTTCTCTGACTCTCTGATTTAAAGCTGGTCTGTACAGGCTTCTACCTGCGGTCCTGAGTTTTCTAGATCTCATTCATGGTTCCTGACTTCCAAGGCAATGTCTTCATTATTTTATTCTACTCACTATGTCCTCACTCTTTTAGCAGCGCATTATCACTGTACCACTATGGCTAGGCCCAAAATGTGTTCCTTTTTTTTTTTAATTTGCCAAAGGATGTATATATTCACCAGAGAAAGAGAGAGAAATGGTCACATGCAGTCCCTTCTCCTCCATCTCGCCCTCCTGTCAGGATTTTGAGCATGCATGTACATGCACCCAGTGTGTTTCTTAAGTTGCCAAGTCCGGGACTTGAACTGCACAGTCAGCAATGTGGGATACAGCTCCCCTAACCACCAAGCCACAGGTTGGCCATGATTTTCTTTAACACTATAATCCACACCAATGAGCCTCTATTCCCATTTGAACATGGAATCACTGAGACAGAACGACCACTTACCTTGACCTTTTCCTCTAACTTCCCTAATAGAATGTTGCCTTTTTTAACTTTGTTGAGAACTCCATGCTTCTCACTTTCTAAATATTTAGCCTAAGGAGGAAGGTGGAAAGAAAAATAAATGGGCTCCCAGTTTCACAGAAAAATTAAGATAATAAAACCTTCTTTTACAACTCACAAGTAATCTCTATCCTGCCACTTATCCTGCTCTGCTCCCCCATCTTCACCTGATTCCCTGGCTCCCCGTGTGAGGGCCGTGGGCAGAACACAGGCCAACACCTGGGGAGGGGCAGAAGCAGGGAAGACCAAGCCCTACAAATATGGGAATATCAGAGGTTGTAACGGTTTCCAGAATCTTCTACAAACTATAAATTATTTCAAATGCAAAATAAATAAATAAATAAGAAAAAAAGTACTTTATTCCCTCTAAAGTAGGCCAGTGATCACAGTTTGGTTTTCTAGAAAGGAAGGGTAACACATGAGAATTAAGTAACTTGTCCTAAATCACAGGGAAAACCCACCCTAGGGGCAGGATTAGAAATTAAGATGTCAGATCCAAAACTATCGTTGTCTCCCACAGATATGTGATAAATAAAAAGATGGTGAAATAAACTTGGGGGGACCAGCAGTTGGTGTAATGGCTATGTTGCTGGACTCCCACGTAGTTGACCACATCTAGAGTTCTGGAGTGGTGGCTTAAATTCACGCCAGACACGTGTGCGCGTGTGCCCAAGATCCCGAGAGGAGAATGGAGGAGGGATTGCGGCGTGGCCGTCCCCCCTGGGGGGTGATTGTTCACCTTCTGTCTCTATGTCTCTCTCTGTCTTTGGCGAGCACACACGCCCTATAGCAAAAACCTCTCCAAAAAAAAAAGAAAAGAAAAGAAATATACTTGGGGATCTGAAAAGGTATTTGTAGCCAAGGGTAATTAGCAGAAATCCCCCAGAGCAGAGTGTTTATGGGATGGGGTGCAGTCGGGGACTTGGACAAGATCCAGAAGACTTAGATGAGATGAGGCAGGAGGAACAGCCCAGTCCCAGGATGGGGCAGAGACCAGCAGCAGCCAGCACCACATTGGACCTAGGCTAGAAGGACAGCCTTGGCCTACTCAGGGGCAAGACGTTTTCAGGGCCAGGGGGATATGCCCACACTCAGTCTGGTTATGAGGGACCCAGAGTGGATGAGGGCAGCTCCCTGACATCCAATTTCAGCTGTGATTAAGGGGTTTGAGGATCCTAAACTTAAAACTGGCTTTCAAGCCATGATAAAGGTCAAGTCAGGAGGAAAGAACACCTTTTATTAAAAATTCATTGGCTTCATTTGAAACTTTAAAAGAGTTGGACACACAGAATGTGGTATCCATTCGTCTTTTTGTCCTGTGCCCATGAGCGTGAGGGTGGGCCTTACGGGAGGGGTTCAAGGA